GACGCTGGCCTCTGGGAGGAATAGTGTAGCACTATACTGCACTGCATAATAGTCAACGAGGCAGGGAAGCAGGTAGTTTTCAGTCTGACCAGTCCTTGTCACAGAAAGGGCAATCACTCAGGGATATGGAAACAGTTCTGATACAATAAAAGTAGGAGTGACGTTGGGCAGGAATAGGTTAGCTAGTGAGGTCAGTCAGGGTAGTAAGTGAACAAGCTTGGGACTCAGATGTGACTGTGACAAGACGTGAATGAACGGGATGACTGCAAAAGAAAACTTTGTCTACTTTTTGGGGGGAGAGACTTTGTTGGAAGAGAAGGGTATTGTCAGAGTAAGGGGCTCTAGGGGAATCGCAAAGAATCAAATCCCACATGGCTGGACCAGAGAGAGTACTCAAAAGGTTTGAAGAAGTGGAAGAAGTAGAAGGATGAGGAGGGGAGGAAGGGAGAGTGATGTGGAGTGAGACAGTACTGTGAGGAGGACAAGAGGGAGGAAAATAAGGATGAAGAATAGTAATAAGGGAGGAGGAAACAGACAATGAAGTATTTATAGATATATCTTAAGAAAACTATGTTTTTCTACAAATTCAAGGAATGGGGAAATCAGGCATGGTCACCGGGCCTACTGTTCGACTCTTTGGTGGCTGAGCACTTGTGGATTCATTTGTGCGCCACAAATTTACAAGAAATTACACTGGGCAGTACATAAAACCCCGGTCAATGAATTAACACGACCTAACTATGAAGTATACTTAACATTATCTTTTAAGTTTCCTCATGATGAGTTATGTCTCCATTTCTGAAGTACCTTTATCAACCCTTTCCTAACGGGGAAAATAAATAAGAAATGGGGGAGATTCTGTGCCCCTTTTTTTCATTTTTGTGAAATGTCCCTGTTACTAGATGGCTCTGCTAGTGCTTAGCAATAAAGGATTTCACCTTTCCTTGAATTGGCACGAAAAACATATTTTTACTAGTGTTATAAATATATATGGTGTTATTTTTATCATAAATATTATAATTACTATATTGTTATAAACATTTTTAACAGCAAAATAAGATAACATAAAATATTTTCGTAAATCAATGAAAAGGGTGAACGGGCAAGACAGGAGGTACTCGTAACTGGCTCATTGGTGATTTAGTACAAGTGTAGCCATCAATGTGTAAAAACAATTAAACAAGTAAACTCACAATGGACATGGCATGTACGTACATGCCATGCCCGTCGGCAAGGGATTAATCAGGAAAATGAAACTTGTGGGAAACTACATCATTAGGTCTTTATTGACTGTTTTTACACTTCATAAATTACAAATGGTCAACCACTCTCCTCTACAACAGCTATTTGGTCTCTACTCTTGTCTCCAATTTTACATTTTCATTGTCAAAAGCTAGTGATAAAAAGAAATACATTTCCACTGTTGATGATATGAAACAAATTCATAAATAATGACAATATGGAAAGATGCAAAATATTGATTTGTTTTCTGTCTTCCGTTTACTTATTTACTTATTCATTTAGTTACTCATTTTTGACATATTCAAGAGTATCATCCTATGTGCTTATTTTCCAGCATTTCGGAATAAAGAAAGAAAGGAAAAAAAATATGTATATATATATGCAAATAACTTTTACCGAACATCAAAAATTAAACCACCTGACGCGTGCACGAGTAACCACCAGGCTTAGGGCTCCTAATTAAACAGTAGAGCGAGGTATCCAAAGAGCATCTACTGTGTAATCTGTATACTAAACCGTGGTCCTTCAGCCTCCCTGCTTCACAATCCCTAACACAACCTTTTATTCATTATTTTTTATTTTTTATTTCCCAAATTTTGGTCTCTCGCAAGATTTATTGCCATAACTGTAAGGTGTTTCTTTTTTTTTTTTTTTGTCTTTCTATTTTGTTCTTCTTCCACTTACTCCTCCTCCTCCTTCCTCTTTCTCTGCTTCCTAATTCTTCGTCTTCCTCTTCTTCTCCTCCTACTACTCCTTTTTTTTCTTATCCTCCTCTATCTCTCTCTATTCATCAGCTCTTATGTTTTCGGTTTACACACGGATGAAAATTGTTTTGAGAGAGAAAAAAATACATTTTAAAAATATCTCATTTATTAATATCTCAAAAAAAAAGAAAAGAAAAGAAAAGAAAAGAAAAAAAAAGCAAACATAATCATTAAAAAACAGGAAAAGAAAGAAAAATAATTACAACAACAAATGCTTGTGATCTGTCATTGTACAACTGATAGAGAGGATCACAAAGTCTTAAATGCATGGCCCTTTTTTTTTATGTTTATTTTCAAGGTAAAGTCTCAACTTCCTTTTTTAACTTGATTTATTCATCTCTCATATAATTCACTAAGGGATAAACAAGACAATATTTATTCATTTTGGGGGGATATAAAAAATAAATGTCCCTTGGTCGGGGAAATAAGGTATAAAAATTGGTGCAAATTTGTTGATTTTTTTGCTATAAATCTTTACATTCCAATCAATGTTTGTAAAGTTAACTTCAGGCATTATTACCAGTCGTCTTTATTAAATCTGAGGGGAGAGTAAGAGGGCAGGGGGTGAGAGAGAAAGAAAGACCAAAAGAAAGAAAGAAAGAAAGAAAGAAAAAAAGAAAATGAAAGACAGAAAGAAAGAAAGAAAATGAAAGACAGAAAATGGAGGATAAGGGAGGGCTGAAAGAGAAAGAGAAAGAGAAAGAGAAAGAGAGAGAGAGAGAGAGAGAGAGAGAGAGAGAGAGAGAGAGAGAGAGAGAGAGAGAGAGAGAGAGAGAGAGAGAGAGAGAGAGAGAGAGAGAGAGAGAGAGAGATTTTCATTTCTCGAGTTACAGCTGATGATCCCTAATTGACATCCCAACATCAAATTCTCAAAAAAGATTCTCGTTTACTCTGCAAAGACCGAAGAAAAAGAGAAGGAAAAGATGAAGGAAAAGGAGGAGGCAAGAGGAGAGGAGAAAGATGAAGGGAAAAAATAGGGAGAAACATGGAAAACCAGGCAGCTATCACAGGCCTCTTAGCTTCTGTACATTAGGTAACCTGTACCCTGTTTTCTAATAAGAATGAATGAAACTTGCAATCCCCTACCCCATCTTCAATTCAAATGGCAAAGAATAGCAAGACTTTTTGTTTCTGTTTTTCTTTTTTTTTTTTAAGAAATAAAATGTTGGGAGTAAAGAGCTGAAACTTTGTACACAATGTAACACCTGTTAATCAATTCTAAAACAATCTTATGTGACCAATTAGTGTCTTTCCCTTTAATTGTGACATGCTTCCAGTAATCCGCACTTGTTGAAGCACTGTAAGCAATTGGATCATTTAATCTACTCATATGAACAGTTTCAAATACTCTCTCATCATTTCCACTGAACCTAAAACCTCTCTCTCTCTCTTGCTTTCTCTCTACAAATGAAGAACAAGTAGAAAAAAAAGGAAGAAAATGCATCTTAAATACCAATTAAATATTGAAAACTCAACCCCTACAAGCTGTCTTTCAAATGCTTTCATAACAATGTCATATATGGCATCATTATGTAAATACAGTTACCATCACCTCAAACCTTTTTCACTTAATGTCTGGGTTTCATACGAAAATACCGAAATTTTGTTCTCCATACATTACTTACCACCCATTAAAACCTGAAGGAAAATAACAAATTCGTAATTTTGAACGTACATGAATGTATCTGGGGAGAAAGAGAAAGAGAAAGAGAAAGAGAAAGAGAAAGAGAAAGAGAAAGAGAAAGAGAAAGAGAAAGAGAAAGAGAAAGAGAAAGAGAAAGAGAAAGAGAAAGAGAAAGAGAAAGAGAAAGAGAAAGAGAAAGAGAAAGAGAAAGAGAAAGAGAAAGAGAAAGAGAAAGAGAAAGAGAAAGAGAAAGAGAAAGAGAAAGAGAAAGAGAAAGAGAAAGAGAAAGAGAAAGAGAAAGAGAAAGAGAAAGAGAAAGAGAAAGAGAAAGAGAAAGAGAAAGAGAAAGAGAAAGAGAAAGAGAAAGAGAAAGAGAAAGAGAAAGAGAAAGAGAAAGAGAAAGAGAAAGAGAAAGAGAAAGAGAAAGAGAAAGAGAAAGAGAAAGAGAAAGAGAAAGAGAAAGAGAAAGAGAAAGAGAAAGAGAAAGAGAAAGAGAAAGAGAAAGAGAAAGAGAAAGAGAAAGAGAAAGAGAAAGAGAAAGAGAAAGAGAAAGAGAAAGAGAAAGAGAAAGAGAAAGAGAAAGAGAAAGAGAAAGAGAAAGAGAAAGAGAAAGAGAAAGAGAAAGAGAAAGAGAAAGAGAAAGAGAAAGAGAAAGAGAAAGAGAAAGAGAAAGAGAAAGAGAAAGAGAAAGAGAAAGAGAAAGAGAAAGAGAAAGAGAAAGAGAAAGAGAAAGAGAAAGAGAAAGAGAAAGAGAAAGAGAAAGAGAAAGAGAAAGAGAAAGAGAAAGAGAAAGAGAAAGAGAAAGAGAAAGAGAAAGAGAAAGAGAAAGAGAAAGAGAAAGAGAAAGAGAAAGAGAAAGAGAAAGAGAAAGAGAAAGAGAAAGAGAAAGAGAAAGAGAAAGAGAAAGAGAAAGAGAAAGAGAAAGAGAAAGAGAAAGAGAAAGAGAAAGAGAAAGAGAAAGAGAAAGAGAAAGAGAAAGAGAAAGAGAAAGAGAAAGAGAAAGAGAAAGAGAAAGAGAAAGAGAAAGAGAAAGAGAAAGAGAAAGAGAGAGAGAGAGATTTTCATTTCTCGAGTTACAGCTGATGATCCCTAATTGACATCCCAACATCAAATTCTCAAAAAAGATTCTCGTTTACTCTGCAAAGACCGAAGAAAAAGAGAAGGAAAAGATGAAGGAAAAGGAGGAGGCAAGGGGAGAGGAGAAAGATGAAGGGAAAAAATAGGGAGAAACATGGAAAACCAGGCAGCTATCACAGTCCTCTTAGCTTCTGTACATTAGGTAACCTGTACCCTGTTTTCTAATAAGAATGAACGAAACTTTTGCAATCCCCTACCCCATCTTCAATTCAAATGGCAAAGAATAGCAAGACTTTTTGTTTCTGTTTTTCTTTTTTTTTTAAGAAATAAAATGTTGGGAGTAAAGAGCTGTAACTTTGTACACAATGTAACACCTGTTAATCAATTCTAAAACAACCTTATGTGACCAATTAGTGTCTTTCCCTTTAATTGTGACATGCTTCCAGTAATCCACACTTGTTGAAGCACTGTAAGCAATTGGATCATTTAATCTACTCATATGAACAGTTTCAAATACTCTCTCATCATTTCCAATGAACCTAAAACCTCTCTCTCTCTCTCTCTCTTGCTTTCTCTCTACAAATGAAGAACAAGTAGAAAAAAAAGGAAGAAAATGCATCTTAAATACCAATTAAATATTGAAAACTCAACCCCTACAAGCTGTCTTTCAAATGCTTTCATAACAATGTCATATATGGCATCATTATGTAAATACAGTTACCATCACCTCAAACCTTTTTCACTTAATGTCTGGGTTTCATACGAAAATACCGAAATTTTGTTCTCCATACATTACTTACCACCCATTAAAACCTGAAGGAAAATAACAAATTCGTAATTTTGAACGTACATGAATGTATCTGGGGAGAAACATTAAATTCCTTTGACGTAGCATGAAAAGTTAACTCCATTTTCTTAGAGTATGTTTTCCAAGTATCAAATACTATACTTTGTTAACAAAAGAGTTTGGTTCTTAACAAATGCCAAAGTACACAGTAATTTAACGAGGCCATAGACTCCATACAAAATTGAACAAGTTGGACATCACTTTGCACATCACAATTGGCAATGATCTGCTGACTCCACATGGAAAAACAACATACTCCACACACTCCAAGCCTCATTGGTATGTTCCCAACATAACATGGATTCAGTTAATAACATTCTAGAGAGAAGTCATTAAAGATAAGATCTTGTCCTGTTTGTCTTTAAGGAAACAGGGAAGGTGTGTGTTCTGGGAACCGAGCACAGGGCATGGTGCTTTTCCAGAATCAAAAACTTTAAAAAGTCCTTTCATTACTCATCACAGACATTATGCTAATTCACACTGTTATATGAAAAGCCAAAACTTATAGAACAGGGTACAAACTGTATAAAAACATACAACTTTAGACAGACATAAAAATGTGTCTTTATTATTTCTATTGATGTTACAAGGATTTCTCATTCAACTTTTATTTCATGCACTGCAATTTGCTGATGCGTTATCCCAGACATGACAACCTGTCATATTATCTACAGAGATTACCTTCATATTCATTTCTTTATTTTTGTTCTCACACATTAACTAAAATACAATTTCTACATTTAACAACCTTGATAGAAATGATCATAAAAAGTTCTCACAAAACAGTATATTTCATATTAACTGTTAATAGCCTTTTAATGGAGTTCAGACTGCCCCCACGACTTTTTTGCGTCTTGTGACAAATCTAACGTCTCACCACATGAACCTAGAACAGGGTCTGTATAAAAGAAACAACTAAATTGCACTTCTCCTTTTGTGACTACAAACTGCATTCTTCCGCTGAGAAGAGAATGCCAGTCACTCTGGACAATTTCAAACATACACAGAGATGATCTTAGGAGTGGCCTGCACTTTCGATTGGCAATAATGAAAACCCAGTTCATAAGTGGGGTTAATCAGCTTGGGCCAGCCCCCCCCCCCCATCCCCTTCCCCACCCCCACCTTGGTGTTGTACATGCCTGAGGTGTTTGGTCTGACGGCTGCCTCACTGCGACACCGCCTGCACCTCAACAACTGGTGTCGCACTTGTTCCGTTGTTCATGGACATACTCTGTTGATCCTTGTGAAACTTGTCCACCTGAAATGGAGGTCGAAATTTACTACTACTCCCTGGCGTCAAGTTAACAAGAAAAATAAACAAGTAAAACAAGTACCTGTGTAAAATAGCACAAAAAAGGGGAAAGTATTGTTGGGAAATTTCAGTAGATCGTAAAAAAAACAAAAGCTCTGCACTGAAGAATACTTTGCACTATGACTTCTTAAGAGTTAACTTTGCTGACACACCAAACTAAGTGACATATTTGGTATACTCTTTCTTCGATGAGCATTACATTGTTTCCATTGCACTGAGCACAGAAAGGATTGACAACAGAGTAATGGAATATTAAAGGCGTCTTCTGTACATGTCATAAAAGTTAATTCCAGATTAAAGTTGATCCAAATCCACAGAAGATGCAAGACACACCGCCAGGCGCACAAGTTAATGTGCTAATGTTGATAAGGAAGCGTTTTCTACAGAGGAAAAAATATATATATACACATATGCTAGCGTTATACCATACCGATATATATCTGTGTCAGTACAAATATTACTATATAAATGGCTTCAGAAATGAAGATGTCAAACAAAAATGAGTTACTCGTAATATCAATTTATATTTGCGGAAGTTTTCTCTGAGAGCTCTTTCTCGTGTTTGAGCATAGGGCATAGGGAGGGTAGTTATTTTCAGGCTGTTGCTAGTGAGGATCATGATAACAAATGTCTATGCGGTTTTGAAGACACTTTAGTTTTAAGAATCAGGAAGTTTTTACTTTGACTTTAAAACCTAATAGTGACGATATTAAAAGCTTTCTTTTTCACTTGATTAATATATTACATAGGATGGGAATGCTTTTCCAACTTGGATATAACACTGCCCTCTCTGTGTCAGTAAACTCTGGAATTCTCTGTGGGATTTTCTTTTTGTTTTTCTTTTGAATGTTAATAGTTATATCTGCAATTTTGAATATCCCACAACTTATAAAAATATATGTTAATGAATTTTCACATACAACTTTGACATGAAAATGTCAGCATTTATTTTGTTATTGCTTATTATGAATATCAATGGCAACTCAACTCCATCTTTTCAATAGAGTTGATGACCCTGTCATGACGTATCAATACATGATTGATGGAATTAACTTGTCCTCTCAAGCACATGTGCAGGATTAAATCTAGGCTCAAAAAGTAAAGACTGGTCTGGAGGTGAATCAAAAATTAATCCTGAATGCTGTTAATGCACATGTGCATCTGAGATCTGGCTTAAACTTTAACCCCTTGGTGCCGGGTGACGCCGATCGGCGTGTACACAAAGAGCACGAAAGCTGGCATGCAGCTGAACGAGCCGGCGGCGCGCCAAAGCGCGGCGAGCCAGTGATTCGGGCTGATGTCCCCTACTCATGCGCTCAAAGTCGGCGCACCGCCTTTGTTTGTTTAAGCGTAAAGTTTTTTTTTTCTTTTGTACACCCGGCGCCATTGGGTTAATACTGGATTAATTTTTATGGCACGTACAGATGACACCCTTAGGGTTTGTGTTCAATGGATATCTTTGTTATTGTACTGAGATATCTGCTTTTGGAAATTCAAACTTAGGAGCTTTTGGTATACTGCCAAAGTTGGTCATTTCTGTATAATATCAAGAAGATCAAGTTTTTTTTATAACATATTTTCTAAACTATTCCAATATCAAAACATCTAGTGTTGATGCATAAAGGGCAAATGATTCTCCTGACAAAAGAAAACCAATTATGCTGAAATTACTCAAAACTTGTCACAGCACTGATAGTTTTAGACCGCCTCTACTTAAATGAAAAACGACAACTTCTGAATGATACACATTGGGCAGAATTCATGAGAAATAATTCAAAATACCAATTTTCCTAAAATGCTAGCTGAGAGCTTCTGGAAGATCTACAAGAATATATTTATCTCTACTGTACCTAAAAGGGTGAAGTAACTGAAAAATATTGTATAATAATTTTACAATGCATTGGATGTTTTACATAGTGAATAAAAGAAAAAATTATCTAAAATATCTTAATATTCTGCCTTGCTGGGACATAAATACAGAGAGAGAGAGAGAGAGAGAGAGAGAGAGAGAGAGAGAGAGAGAGAGAGAGAGAGAGAGAGAGAGAGAGAGAGAGAGAGAGAGAGAGAGAGCCACAGAAGAAAAAAGAAAAAGGGGCAAAATATAGAAAAAAAAAAAAAAAAAAAAAAAAAAAAAAAAAAAAAAAAAAAAAAAAACCAGAAAAGGTGAAAAACATACAGAAGCCACAAGGAAAAATCTAAAGAGGAAATGCAAGGAAAACGAGCCACCCCCCCCCCCAAAAAAAAGAAAAAACGAACCACAACACTTACAATTTTCTTGATGTAATTAAGCTGTAGTGCGCTAACCTCCTTCCCGTCCTTGTGCTCTCTCACGTTGTCCGACTGGTATGGGGGCGTGATCAGGACCTGCCCCATCACCAAAATATTTACCCCCTTCCATGTCACCTCCTCTAACCTGCGGGCGGAGGAGGAGATTCGTCACAAACGCCAACACAAGGAAAGACTCAGGAAAGTTTCAGTAAAGTCTCAGGAAACCCACAGAGGACAGGAGTGCTTAGAGCTTCGATGAATGTGCAAGACAGGGGGGTGATTTTCGGTGATCTAATTCCAAATAACCAATAATTTTGGGCAAACTGTTTTAGATTTGGATGCTCACATCATGGCTAATCTGATCATTTCAAGGGGGACCAGCTATATTTTGTCCTCTATGGGTAAAATAAACAAAGCAGAAGAAACTGCAGAAGAATTAATAAAAAAGTTTGGTCATATCATAAAATAATTTTATCAAGTGTGTGTGAGTGTGAGTGTGAGTGTGAGTGTGTGTGCGTGTGTACAATATATATATATATATATATATATATATATATATATATATATATATATATATATATATATATATATATAATTATAATTATAATTATAATTATAATTATAATTATAATTATAATTATAAATATAAATATAAATATAAATATAAATATAAATATACATATACATATACATATACATATACATAAATATATAATACAATATAATACATTACATCTTAAATAATTTTCTCTTAGCAGTAAATTACTTCTACTTTCATTTTAAAACTTCAGTACATATACAGACGTGCTTCACTTTCCTTGTCCCAAAATATATGAAAAAAATATACATATCTATACTAAATACACATACTGACCATATGTTCATAACAACAGCTTCATAACATACTACATCTAACTCTGTATTATCTCGCCATACATAAACCAATCCCCGATTACCAATAAGCCCTTCAGTATTTACATAACCTACGCTAACTTGCTACCGGCGGCTTAAGCCCATGCCTGGTACGTAGAGAGAGAGAGATGCCTTACGTTTTATTGATAGTTAGAAATAGCTTCTGACCATCAGGAGACACTCCAGATTGCATGGCCTGGATTAGCCGTTGCTTTTCTTCTATGCTTCTCTTTGCTCGGGAATTAAGCTATAAGAGAGAAAAAAAAAAATTGGAATTATCCTTCAAAGAGAAGAAAAGTGAAATTAAAAAAAAAAAAAACATCATTTATCTGTTGGTTTATTTACTGAATCAAGCAAGGGCAATTTAGATAAATGGAATTAAAAATTAGTTTTTTTTAATGTTTTCTGAATTATATTAGAGGGGGGAAAGAAAAGAAAGTAAGAGAGAAAAAAAAAAAGAAAAAGAAAAAAAAAAAAAAAAAAAAAAAGGTACAAATGTTATGTTTTTCAGTTAATGTTATCTTCAGTACCATCCTTATTAAAAATGGAGATGAAGGTTAGCGCCGAGGCAACGCGAAACCAGAGCGCGCACGTACCTTAGTAAGATTTAGAGACGGCAGGGTTGGTAAGGAAGAGACCGGTGCTTCCCTCAAGACTGTAACCTGAGAAACATAGCTAAGGTTGACCATACGAATGTCACATAGGGACGTCCTCCCACTACTGGCTGGCGATTCTGAGCTTCTGAGTTAAGGAAGTGATTGACGATGATGGATACAGGGTGAGGGGAGAAGGGGGGGGAGCATAAAAATAATGATAAGCATATTTACACACATAGAAGCACATACAGAAATACAAAAATATTCTGTTTAAAAGCCTTATGAAGAATTTTTAAAAATTCGAATGAGATAAAATAATGTATCTTACATATTGCATCAGCTCAAATTTCAAACACACAAAAACCAGTTGAAGCAGAATTGCACTGACACCAACTAAAGTTTTACTGATGGCTGTGATTTGGTTTCCTATGAATGTTCCTTCGAAGTTCAATAATGTACTTCTACAACTTTGCATAGATAAGATATACACCCATGAGCACACACTCGCACATGCACATATACACACACACACACACAAAAAATGAACATACTCTTGAAGCATATTTTGAAAATACCTGACATGAGTGAATCCCCCAAAAAGGACAATTACTTCTAAACAATATCCCTATAAATAAGAAAATGGAAAGCCTTAATAAATAATTATTTTTTTTAGTTATTTATATTTTTCTTCTTTTTTTTTATTATTATTTTTTTTTTTTTTTGGGGGGGGGGGCGATTTCAAATTTCACTCTTACTTACCAAATCTTGTTATGTACTTTCTAAACTCTTCAAGCAGTTAGCATATTCTAACCACATGTACTATCCCAAAAAAGAAAGTTGCTTTGCTTTGCTTTGCTTCCCAGAAAGTAATTCTAGAAAAAAAAAACATAAATAAATACATAAACAATAACAACACTGAACATAATTACATCAGTATCAATATCCTTAACAATAATTACGTCTAAGAATATATAGCTTCGGCAAAGGCAAGGATGTTAGCCATGAGGCCTACCTCCAACCTTACACCCCCTCTCCTACCCCCCTATTACCTGAGCACACCACCAATGTTCAATGCCTTAAAATAGCAACAGGCAACTCATCATGACAGCTGAATGACTTCCAAGAATTTGGAGAACGGCTCCACTCTCCTCGGGAATTTCCTGAACACGGGTCATGTGGAGGACAAACATGCACTGCAATTCCTTTGCATGTTGTCTGCGCAAATATGCCACCTGTTTAACCATACTACTGCAATTGAAGATTTTGGTCAGCATGCAAAATATTGGGTGACTTCATAATTGGACTATACTTCACATTGGTCTGAACACTTCATGCTCTGGCGAAGTCCATAACACCACTACCACATGCAGAGCTTATCAATGCATTTCAGCTGATGATATCTGTACAACCAGGATAATTATGAATAATCGTTGAATTCCCTGCTTCATAGCAGAAACCAAAATCTTGAGTATTAGAAAAAATATATCTAATAATAATGAATAACTAAATCAATCAAACAAAATAAATTCATATTAGTTACTTACCAATGTCATGAACGATCTGAGCTGCCAAATGTGCCATGAAAAAAAATGATTGAATGGACCCTCAAGCTAGGCATCTTGTGACAACTATACAAACCAAAAATATTTGATTTATTGGCCAATCTAACCCTACAAGCTGCACTACAAAAATTCTGAATTTTGAAAATCATTTGGAAATAGACTTACACATATTACCACAATACAAGAATATTAAAATGCAATAATGATATTGGACGTACGTATTGCATATTGACAGAAATTCTTCAAGACACTTTTGTTACAAAATGAAAATACAAGGTAAAATAATTTAATTATCATTAGACACTGAACCAAGAAAAGCGGCATTCTGGCAAACCGTATATTGTTGGCCTTGGCTGGAGGGCTAATGGAATTACCTGATCGCATCTGTTCAAGGGTTTAGTACCTTCACCAAAAAACCTCACCATTTTCAATTTGCAAGAAAATGCAATATGATATTGGACGTACGTATTGCATATTGACAGAAATTCTTCAAGACACTTTTGTTACAAAATGAAAATACAAGGTAAAATAATTTAATTATCATTAGACACTGAACCAAGAAAAGCGGCATTCTGGCAAACCGTATATTGTTGGCCTTGGCTGGAGGGCTAATGGAATTACCTGATCGCATCTGTTCAAGGGTTTAGTACCTTCACCAAAAAACCTCACCATTTTCAATTTGCAGAAATTATCATATGAGAAAACCATCTTGGAATTCATTAAACTATCAGTTTCAAATAACATATACCATCTTGTGTTAGGCCTTTACTGTGTGCTTGAAAGCATAATCTTACCAATAATGAGAATAAAAATAAAGTAAGAATAATTTCTTACACAATAAACACAAAGAAGCTAAGAATAGGCATGAAAACAATCAACAAAATATGATAAACATGACAAGACAGTTCTGAAGCCAAGGTCAACAAATCTCCAGCACACCTTTTCTGGCAGGACAGAGCTTGTACCAGAAGGACTTTACTGTCCTCCCTGGACTTTGAAACATGATGGCCATGGAAAGCACTTATCACTGCACATACACCATGCTGGACACCATATTATAGGCCTACCATCAGATCAAAATAAGTTTCAATTTGAATTTGAGAAGAGCACAGCCAACAATATTGAGAAAAACTTGCTGTTTTGAAGGCCCTCTGCCAGTGACTTTAGAACATTTACTTAATTTTCTTTAAAAAATCACTGTCAATACTACCACATCATAGTTTATAACTCCTGTAAACCACCGTCCATTTAGCCCGAGTTGGAACCCCTTGCTGGTCATGAAAACAACCCTCCAAGATTCATCAAAAGGGTCAAAGTTATCAGTGTGGCCAGCATTAGCATGGTCCAGTGCCTAAATATCAAGCTGACACGCAGAAGAAGCACTCATGACTCCGCACGAGAGCCCAGTGCCTCGTGCAGCGGCCTCACCTGACCTTACATGACCTTACATGCCCTACCACGACACAAACAATCCTCCCAAACTCGATCCCGTGTCCTTCCCTTGCCAGACCCCGAGCCGACACTGTCTCCAACGGACAGGTGAACACCAGCCCCAACACGGTCATTACGAGAAGATCGCGAAGGGCCGATCCCTCACACTCCCCGCGGAAAAAAAGCAAAACCAAAAAGGGGGAAATGTTTATCCAAAAAACGGGGGGGACCCATGACCTGTGCGTGTCGAATTCTCCCCCCAAAAGGCACCGATTTCCCAGGGATTCAAAAGGATACTCAGTGTCAAGAGCTTCACGTGCGAGTCGAACGCTAAAACCTCGCCTTGTAACTCTTCGTCGAAGCACGTAACGCAACTCACTGTGCTGCCGATGTTGAAGCACTCACTCGAGTCAGCCATCTTGCCTCCGAGTGGGTTTTCCTCCGCGCTTATTGCCGATTCCTGCTGGCGGAGACGAAGGAGCAGAGGGAAGGGGCCTCAAAAGGAGATCCGATGCTGTTAAATGTGGATCCCGAGGGACTCTGATCCTGCTCGGGGAGGAGATCCAACGCCACGTCCAGAATGTAAACAAATCCTCGATAACAGACGACGGCGAGAGAGGGGAATCCAACGCCTTGTCTGGAGGAACTCGATCCCGTTCGCCGATCCAACGCCGCTGAGGGAGGTTTTCGATCTTATTGTCGGGGAGGATTCTGTCCCACGTTTAGAATGTAAACAAATCCTCGATAAGTGGGGAAAACTTCATGATAAGCGATCGGATACTCTTCAGCACGCAATCTATCCCCCAAGAGAGATGACGGAAGGGGATTAGATAAGATATTCATGAATAAAGACAGAAGCGAAGAGGATCGGATAAGAGCGACAATGTAAATAAAGCGGATTTCAAAACAAAAGCCGTGATCAGCTGAGAGAAACTTACTGAATTAACCGCGTTGGACATGTACTATCCCTGCCTAGCTCTCATGGTAGACGATTTTTCACAAGCTTGAGGAAAACTCTCGCCTCGAGACGGCCGGATTGTTTTCGTAAGAGCTGGAGGAAACTCTGTAGAGTGAACTTCATCTATAGAGTGTAGTGAAAATCTAAACCCTTACTTGATGGACTCTGATTCCAGTTTGGATGCAGGAGAAGATCCTGAATCAGCCCAGTATATGGATCATGATAACCAAACAAAAAGAACCAGAGAAGAACTAGAAAGTGATAACCAAGAAAACCCAATCTCAAAACAACCGAAAAACAAAGAAGCCGGATGGAAAACACCGGCAGAACCCCAACCAACAACAAGTAACAACTTAACAAATATGGAGGTAGGAAATGACAATTTTGTAGTACTCGTACATTTAAAAGATGGATCTGTAAATACAAACTTTAACAACCCATTAAAATTAACCAATGCAATCAACAAATCAGAATTCCAGAAATATATAATCGAGGACTCACTAAGAGTACTAGGGGCAGGAAAAGCCCTCAGATTTGAAATTAGAGATATAAACAAATTAAGACCATTAAATGTAATAAACAAACTTGGAGAATGGGAAATTGTTTGTAAGCAACCTACCTCAAACAAATATATAAACTGCTCCTATGGAACAATATTCCCAGTAGAAACAGATCTTAACATGGAAAATATCAAAGAAAAAATAAGAACTTTAGGTTATGAACCTAACGAAATAACTGAAATCATAAGATTAAAAAGACAAAATAATGACAAAAAAAGTGAAGAAAAGTGGGTACCCACCAAATCCCTTAGAATAACTTTTAGAGGGACATTACCCAAAAGAGTAGCAATAGGACATACAAGCTACCAAGTAAGACAGTACACTTTCCCCATATTAAAATGTTACAATTGTTTAAGGTACGGACATGGGACAGTAACTTGCAAAAACAAAAAAAGATGTAAGAACTGTAGCCAATTTGGACATAACTATAAAGATTGCCAAAATACCTCTCATTGTTTTTATTGTGATGAAAATCATTCACCGAACACAAAAGAATGCAAAGTACATAAATTAGCACAACAGATAAACAAAGACAATATAACACCAAATAACCTAGAGATAAAAAAAACAGTTACAACAACTAAAACCAACAACAAAAAACATAAGTAACGAAACACAACAACCAAACATAATTACACAAACAAACAACACACAACAAGACTATGTAACCACAACACCTCAACCCACAGAAGACAACAGAACACAAACATATGCACAGAAATCAACAGAACCACAAAGCCTCACTTTAGGTCAAAGAACCCCAAACAAAACAAACAACCAAACTCCAAACAGAAAGAAGACAAGAACTACAAACATCACACAACAAACTACATATTTAGATGTAAATGAACAACCACAACATGAAGAAAACAAATCCAAAATAAACAACAAACAAAAAGACACACTAAATTCACCAGTTACATGGTCACTACCAACCCCAATAACCCACAAAGAAACCACAAATGATAACAATGAAAAAAATGAAGAGGACTTTTCTTGGATAAAATTAGCTAAAAATATATTTAAAATAATAACAAAAATAATAAACAATTTAAACTCAGACAAACCAATAATCCAAAACATAATGGATGTGATAAACAAGATTAGCAACATGCTAAAGGAAAAATGAAAAAATTTTATATTGTGGAACGCAAGATCTGTGTTAAACAAGAAAACTAACCTTAATTATCTAATTTATAAAGAAAACCCAAACATAATTGCCATAACAGAAACATGGTTAAAAGAAAAAGATAAATTTATTCTAAATAATTACACAATAATCAGGAAAGACAGAGGAAATCAAGTAGGAGGAGGCTTAGCCATATGCATAAAAAACGATTTACAGTTTAAAGAAATAAATCTAAGAGAAATATACAGCGATAAATTAGAAACCTTAGGAATAAAAATTAACTATAAAAGTAAATGATTAAATATATTAATAATTTATAACCCATGTAATGATATAAAAACAGAACAACTTCAATATTACTCAGAACAAATCACTGACCCAAAACTAATAATGGGTGACTTTAATGCCCACCATCCTTATTGGAACGAAAATATAAGTAATAGACAAATCAATACAACAGGCAAAAACATAATAAAATGGATCAGTCAAAACAATATAATAATACTAACCCCAAAAAATCAAACAACTAGAGTAGATCCTAAAACAGCCAAAGAATCAACTATAGACTTAGTATTTGGTTCACCAACCCTAAGTCATATCCAAATTAGAACAACATTGCACCTAGACAGCGACCATTTACCAGTAATAATAAACGATAATTCACACAAAGACAGTATTTTGTTAAAAGAAAAAAAGTGGCATTACACAAAAGATGGATGGAGGGATATTCAACAAGAATTAAATTGCATAGAAACAGGAAATCTAACTTCACTCAAAAAAGTTTCAGAGATTATAAAAAATACGGCCCTAAAATACTTTAAGTTAGAAACAAGAATACACAAAGATAAACCAAATAAACCATGGTGGAATAAAGAATGTAATGATATCATAAAAGAAAAAAACAAAGCCTATAATAAATGGAGGAGAAAGCCAACAATAACAAATCAAATAGAATATAAGAGACAATTATCAAAAGCTAGACTCATAATAACGCAAGCAAAAAGGGAATCATGGGAAAAGTTTTGTGCAACATTAGACTTTAAAACACCATCAAAAATGATTTGGAATTTCTTAAAGAAACTAACAGGAAAAATAACAACAATAGAATATCCATTAATTGAAAATGATCTGCCAATAACAGAAATTGCAAAAAAAATTAGGCAAATTTAAAAAAGAATACATGGAAACAGTAAGTAAAACCCCCCAAAAAACTTCTGTCAGACTTAGAAAAAGAAAGATTATTTAATTTAAAGAATACTAATGAACTAAATAAAGAAATAACCCTCTTGGAATTAAAAACAGCAATTAATAATGCCAAAAACAATAAAGCATATGGACCAGATGAAATGACATATGAATTTTATAAGAATGTTCCAAACAACATATTAGAGTCAATCCTAACCATTATCAACTCACACTGGACCAAAGGAGAATACCCTGAATCATTAAAAAATGCCATAATAAACCCCATATTAAAACCGGGTAAAAACCCTTCAGAATCAAACTCTTATAGATTTATTAGCAGAATCTCATGCATTGGCAAAATTTTTGAAAATATCATAACCAAAAGATTAATATGGTGGCTAGAACACAATAATAAGCTAGATGTAGACCTAACCGGCTTCAGACTGTATGAAAATACCACTGATGCATTACATACAATTGATAGTCATATAAACAAAGCATTTATAGATCAAAAATATATAATTGTAGCATGCATTGATTTAGAAAAAGCTTTCGACACAGTCAATCACGAAGCACTTCTAATAAAAATGTCGAAGCTAGGTATCACGGGAAAACCTCTAAAATGGCTGTATAATCTGCTAGAAAAAAGAACTTTCCAAATAAAAATTGGAAATCAAACCTCTGAAAAAGGAATAATAAAAAGTGGTGTACCTCAAGGCTCACCAATAAGCCCAACTTTATTCAATATAATGTTAAATGATCTAAAATTATCAAAAGAAATTGAAAAGATAATATATGCTGATGATATAACTCTACTAACAAGTAATAAAAACTTATTAGAAGCCTCAAACAAAATAGAAAGAGAACTACAAAAGTTAAAAGAATGGGCCAATAACTGGGATCTGAAAATAAACTTTTCAAAAAGTAAACTAATGTGCTTTTCAAATAAAAAGATAAACCAACTACCAAAAATAAGAATAGACAACATAGAAATTAGATACACTCAAAGCCATAAAATTTTAGGACTAACTTTAGACGCCCCCAAACTAAAATGGAAAAAACATTTAGAAAACTTAAAAGTAGATATCTTAAATAGAATAAACATAATGAAAAAACTAACTTCACTAAATTGGGGAGCAAATAGAGAAACTCTATTAAAGTTTTATAAAATATATATAAAACCAAAAATCGAATATGGATTAACAATTTATGGAGCAGCAAAAGAATCTGAACTAAAAAAACTTGAAACATTACAAAACCAAATATTAAGACTGGCAACGGGATGTTTTAGAACAACTCCAATCTTAGCTCTTCAAGCATTAACAAACATCCCATCTTTATCACACACAATAAAAGAACTTGAATGCATTCAACTAACAAAAATCCTAAACAATTCAAACACAACGCCAGTAAAACAACAAATAACAAAATGCATAAGTGAATATAACCCCCAAAGAGATAAAAGATCACTAGTTTACAGAGCTACAGAAACAAAAATAAACCTAAACCTAAACCTAAATCCAAATGAAATACCAAACATATCCCCAATACCACCATGGTATGACATTTCAGAAAACATACAAATAAACTTTATGAACAATATAACAAAAAATACTCCTCAAATAATTATTCAAAAACAATTCCAGGAGTTAATAAATATAGATTACAAAGAATTTAACAAAATTTTCACTGATGGTTCAAAAATAAAAGAACCAGAATCAACCGCAGCAGCAATCTACATCCAAAACAAAAATATAACAACTATTTGGAAATTGCCTCCTAAAATAGAAATCATCCACGCAGAATTATTTGCCATAAAACAAGGACTAAAATATGTAATAAATGATAAACTGACTAAAACAATAATACTAACAGACTCCCAATCATCACTACAATTAATTAAAAAACCCAAACCACTAAATTACAAACAAATCACATATGAAATACAAAAACATATACACTTTCTCTCAACACGAAAACAAGAGATTATGATACAATGGATTCCATCACACAAAAACATTAAGGGAAATGAAATCGTAGATCTAGCAGCAAAGAAAGCCCATGAAGTGAATAATCCCATGTCTATACCACCAGACCCAAATTGTATCATAAAAGAAATTAAGATAAAAAATAACAAAGAATGGGAATCAAACTTAAAAAGAATCCTAAGCACAAAAAATTATCTCATTAAAGACAACACAGATAAACCATGGACCAGAGCAAAGTATAGAAAACTAGACACATGCATCACAAGACTCACAACCAAACACACAAGACTAAAACACCTATACAGAATGAAAATGGAAAATGACCCCTTCTGCAGATGGTGCAAGAACCAAGAAGAGGCTATAGAACACATGTTTTTACACTGCCCAAGATTCAACTCTCACAGAACAAAATTAAAAGATGCACTAAGACGAGTAAACATCAATGATATTGATATTAATCTTCTGATTACAGGTGCAGATCATCCATCTACAATAAAGTACCACATATTAAGACACACAAAGATTTTCCTACAAACAACTAAATTATCTGATATAATTTAAGAAACAAGAAGCCTAGAAAAAGAAGATCCAGGGGATATAGACAACAGTCGTCTTAAACCCTATAACAAGAAAGAAGAAGAAGAAAGCCGTGATCAGCTGAGAGAAACTTACTCTTTTAACCGCGTTGGACGAAAATTACCGTAAGAACATACATGATAGTATGGTAATTAAAGTTGTTTTATGTCTCAAGGGCTCGAAAAAATAAGTGTTTCTACCGCAGCTTCATCGTTTGGTTCAGTTTAGACTTCACTTCACTGAGAAAGCAAGTTGTTTCGCACAAATAACAGGCCTTTTTTTATAGAGTTTTAGGGAATGGATGTCTGCTTGTAGTGCTTTAGGATTTTTTCTTTTCTGATTCTCAACGCGACTATAACCTGTTATAGGCTTGTAACTTGGTCTTGTAACGAGCTTAGATAAGGGTTTCTTTCATACTCGGGTCAGTCTATCGGTCAGCTTGTTCCCGTACATGAGGCAGAAGACCCAGGTTTAAATGGTATTCTAATCAAGGGAGCTCCGTGGTATGAAGAGCAGGTGGTCTCTGAATAGCCAGTGTCATTGGGTATGCTGTCATATAACCTGTCAGGATTGTTATGGAATCATTATGTATTGTTTCATGTCTCTGTCTTGGATGCAAGAGCAAGACCTACAATGACAGTTTTGTCCACTGTCAATTTTCTTGTCTATTCCCTCCTAAGAAATTCTCCTGACAATTAATTAGTAATCTGCACAGAAGATCGATAGTATTTCTGTGAAGAGTGTGACCGAGTGCCAG